GAGAATTTAGTAAACCTTCTAATGGAGAAAGATCTAAAATATTCGTTTTCTTCATATCCTCAAAAATCTCAATGATTTGCTCCCTATAAGATAAGAACAATTCCGGACGAGTTTTGGAGAGCCTATTGCAAATATCCTCCCGAAGTCCTAAGATGAATTCCTTTTTGCAATTGAAAACAATGCTTTTTCCTTCAAATATAGATACTGCCGTATTTGTCATTGGTGAAATGCGAGTTATCTCATTTAGAGTTTGTCTTTTTAGGGATTCGTCATGAGGAAAAGATGATGCCTTTGAAGATGACTTAACTTTACACATAGGCCCTCCAATAGATTCATCACTCACTTGCGGCTTGTTGCATGGGGATACCATCGGATGCCCAATGGTGTTTAACTACATAAAGAAAAGGCAAAGAAAGTAAGTAATTTATAGTGAAGCTACTCATGAAAAAAAGAAGGGAAAGGGCGAGGTGATTGTATTTTACCTCTTTGTTACAAGCTGTATGCATTCTTGAGGGACTATCAACACTTTGAACCTCTACGATCTCTACTGAGTTAGGCCGTTTCCTTTTCCAATTTTGATCTTCATTGGTACTCTAGCTTGTTTCTTGAGGAACATGCGTGTTAAATGGAAAAACTGGAGGGTGTTTCTCTATAGCTGTAGAAGTGCACACCACTTCTTTCAAACCTGCCTTTGAGGATTTAAGCTTCCTTTTTTTTAATGTTGCATAACTACTTTTGGGATTGGAGTTGGTGTTTTCTTAACTTTTGGGAGCGTCTTTCCAACACCTTGATCTTCCCCTCCTAAAGAAGTTGTAGAATTTAGCCCAACATTGTCTACCAAAGCTTGTAAGTTATTCTCGAGAAACTTCCCATGCGCTTTCTCCCACCAAGACATATAATTAGTGGAAAAAGTCTTCTCCATAGGATCTCCCATTGGGGGAAAAACTGCACGTGACATAGATTGATACAGTGTGCAAATCCTCCAAAGTCTGATTCCTTCATCTAGAGAGGTGTCACGGATAACGTTCTCCAAGAAACCGGGGACGTTTTGGTAAAATCCAAATTGACGACCAAACCGACGTGGGCTATATGGCTCGATGGTGAATGAGTTACCATACCTCAAAGGGAGGTAATTAAAACATAAGCTCATGAAGTAATTTGACTCCAACTCTTGAGGGTCATCGTTATCCACGTAATAATAAGGACGGGAATTGGTTAACATTGTTGGTGTCCAAACTATATTCTCCCCATCGTGGATGTATTTTCTTCCATCCTTCTCGTCAAAGTACCTTGCAGCCCCCTCTCCTGAGTATGCCACCATCAAAGGGACAGACGGACCCTTAGCAAGTGGATAGTGGGTTTTGAAGTAATGTGCAAGCCAGCCATAAACATAATGAAGGGAAAAGAAACTTTGACCTGATCAAGTTGGTAAGAACGCGAAATCTTATTCAAACCATGATAAATACTCGCCAAATCTGGGACTACAAGGCTAATCTTTCGCTCGCCTGCCATCATGCTTGCCATCTTAAATGTCTCAGGACGAATGGAATTTTCTACCTTGGGGAACACAAAGGCACATAGCCAAATTGATAAGAATGCCGCTACATATGTTTCATCTTTCTTGTTAGACCTCACCCTAAGCTTGGAGAATATAGTTTCTTGATCACTCAACCACCTCGTCATCTCGGGAATAACTCCGTTAGGATTCTGTATTGACTTTAGGCGTGCGGATTTCTTTTCCTTTCGTAGTGGGGCAGGTCTATTTATTAAAGTTTTTTTATATCAAAAACTTGTCCACTTGCTGAAGGAGACCTTTTGGGTAGCACCCGTACCTTCCTTAAGATGATGAAATGCAGCAAATAAATACTCGCAAGATCGAGGAATAAATTTAATTTGTTTTTCATCCAAACCGATGAGCACTCTTGTCTTAGGTACCGCTTCTTCGTACAGAGAACCCGCAATGGGCAAACCCCCAAGGATATGTAAGTCCCAAAGAGATATAGATAGCTCCCCAGCTGATGTAAGAAGTGTATTCTTCTTGGGGCACCAAGCCTCACAAAATGCTTGCAAAATGTTAGAGTTTCGATCATAAGTAAAAAGTGAGGCATAGACAGCATCGTAAATCTTTATTGTACTCAGAGTTTGTTGGTTTCCACCAAGTACGTCTTCATCCCATTCCCAATATCCTGGGATATGACGATACTTGCCCTCGATTGTTGTTGTGTTTTCCCAATGTACTTCGCCTTGAATTATGTGACTCCCTAAGTTTGGAAGGGTGCTAGCAATATTTACATGGCGATGGATTGGCGCTTGGAGAGACCACATCTTGGATAATGGATTAGAAATCGATTTGTGCTCCAAGGTCCAGTTTTCTACATAAAGGGAGTTCCTTAGAGGATGCCATGAGGCTGCATATCGGCCAGCTTGTGAGGTGTGAACCAAAAGCTTTATTTGTTCTATGACATCTTCAGTCTCGATGATGAGATATCTACGTTTGGAGGAAGGTGAAGTATAGTCTCTGAAATTTGCCATCTATTCGTGCTAAAAAAAGAAAGAAAGAAAAGAGGGGTCATCAAAGTCCAAATCAAGAATATTAGAATGGGTACAAAGGTCTAAATGGATGAAATTCTCTCCGGTAGTCGGGCCACATTGAGAGTAATATCTCCGGTAGTCGGGCCAGTTTGAGAGTAATCTCTCCGGTAGTCGGGCCATTTTGAGAATAATCTCTCCGGTAGTCAGGCCACATTGAGAGTAATCTCTCCGGTAGTCGGGCCAT